GTTAGAAGCAATAAGCATTAACACTTTTCACTACAAATCAGTTTTCTAGTATTAGGCATTTTTTTTGCCTAAGGGCAAATCTATCAGACAGTTTCTTTCAGCTGTGCACTGAAAATGAACCTTATTCTTTCAAAAAAAAGACGCGTGTGGAGAGACACCTCGGCAGTTAAGAGCGCTCACTGGCTGCTCTTCCAGAGCAGGGTCAATTCCCAGCATCTAAAGGGTGGCTGACAACCATCCCTAACTCCAGTTCCAGGGGATCCAACGCCTTCTTCTGACCTCTGTGGGCATTGCACAACACCGGTGCACTTACCTACATGCAGGAAATACACGCATACACATAAAATTTAAAAAAAATAAAATAAATTAAAAAAAATAGGGTTCTTGGAGCCAGAGAGACAGCTCAACAGGTAAGACAACCTGAGTTCAAGGACCCACATGGTAGATGGAGGGAACCAACCCCTGCAAGTTGTCCTCTGACATGTGCACCATGGCACGCATGTGCCCACACACAGACAAATAAATAAATAAACGAATGTAAAATGTTTTAAAATAGAGTTCTTAATATCAAAGTTTTTGAGTTGGGAAGATTGCTCACTTGGTACAAGAGAACCTGAGTTAATTCCCCAGAACCCATATATAAAAAGCCAAGTTCAGTAGTGTGTGCTTGTAACCTCAGCACTAGAGAGGCAGAGATAGGTAGATCCCTGGTTCTCATTGACCAACCAACCTAGTCTACTTGGTGAGTTCCAGGCAATGAGAGACCCTGTCTCAAAAATGTAAGGATGATCTCACCTGAGACATTTCCTTATGCAGCAGATGGTGATTAACACAGAAACCCACACTGAGTAAACAAGAGACTGCAGAGCACTTATCCCTGAATAGAACGCCTATATCAATCTCCTGCCTCCCTAGGCTCAGGACTCATTGCAGAAGAGGAGGAAGAAAGATTGTAAGCACCAGAAATGGTAGTTGACCACAAGGAAACAGAGTTTTCCAGACAGCTGGTCAGTTCCTCATATGAACCCACAGCAATGGTGACAGCATGCACGAGTCCCATGTAAGCTCAAGTCAGACAAAATCCCAGCATAGACATGGGGAAGGGGGTAAGAAACCCCAAACCCACCTGAAGAAATTGTGGCAACAGATGGCTGCTGGGAGGGGCAGAGACAATCTCTTTCAAGGACAGGACCCTTAGTAGTTTAACCAAGGTCCAAGAGATAGTCCTCACTGAAAGACATTTGGGAACATAAACTCTATAGGCCTTATTATATATAGTAGAGCACAGTAAATTGGGTGGGGGGCAAG